GCTATCTCGGAGCCTGGAACCGGTTAGGTATAATTAGGCAGAAATTATGTCATCATTACCAAGTTAGAGCGGAAACAAAAAGATTCTCCAAATGCATTTCGAAGTCGCACATTTCTATTTCGTTCCTATTCATTTGGAATTGAAACGATAAATACGTCCATTCATGTACGTTCCCGTAGTTCCCTCGAAAAACCATACCCGATTCCAGACCAAAATGGGCAAAGTGTTTTCAGACCAAAATGGCCGAAAACCCCTACCCTTCCCTTATATAAGGGAGTACCCCCCTGATCCTGACCCCTTTCATGATTGTTGGAGACCGAGGCAAGGTCTACAAATGGGTTAAGAAAATAGTATTTTGATCCGGCTCATGATTCAGAGAACCGGGCAGCACACCTCCACCAAGAATTTGTAGGAGTATTTACAACTTTAACTCACGTGTCTTGCTATTTAGCGATCTTTTGATCTTATTTTTCCTTACCTAGAACCAATTAGCACCGTTTCTACCAAAGTAGTCCGTAGTCCGTATTTTATACCCAGTCCGCAGTCTGCAGTCCGCGTTTTATACCTAGTCCGTGTTTTATACCCAGTCCGTATTTTCTAGTCCGCGTTTTATACCTAGTCCATATTTTATACCCAGTCCGCAGTCCGTAGTCTGCAGTCCGCAGTCCGTGTTTTATACTGAACGTTATTTAAATACAACCTACAACTTGAATTAAGCAAGCTTAAGCTTACTGGATATATGTATATATAGACAGCGTTAGAAATTGAAAGCTGGAAAACAACTGGGATATACGATAAAAAGCAGAGCTTTATTTCTATGAATAGAAGGCAATGTAAAAGCAAAACGTTGATTGTATATAAGCTTAAAGCATTTTTGTGTTTTTATTTAGCCAAGGACTAAATATCATTCCCATAGCAACACCAACGTGACCTGAGACACCTTTGCTTCATGACTACCCGCATCCCAAAATTACTCAGCTTTCTCTAAGATTTAAAAATGGAATATAGCAAAAGTCATCTCCAACATGGAGACAAAAGTGGAAAATTATACTTACATTTTCACGGCTTTCCTCAGTCACCGAGAAATGTTACAGTGACTGCCAGCAATGATTTCTGGGTTGTTGGTAGATACATTATATATGATACATTATAGCGGGTGCCGCGCGGGGGGGGGAGCCCCATAACTAAGGAAATGTGGTAATCTACCCATCCGCGAAAATTTGGTAATCACGTGACCGTACACCTAGCGAGCGAGCGAGCGACCGTCCGTCTGCACCACAGGCATACCAATGTAACATAACTCAATCAACAGGTATAGCAACCCAAATGCAACTCAAGATTTTATTTGGAAGGAAATCACATGGCCGCCCGGACGTTTAGAAAGAAAAAACAACAGCAAAGTCGTGTCTTTTTCGGCGTTATTTTTTATGTTTACACTAACGTGGATAACAGAGAAAGAGCTAGAGCGAGTTATTGAAAACAAAGGTGACGAACATGGAAATTCAAAGCGGCGGTGAGAAAATGAGAAATGCTAGCGACCAGCAAGGAGTGGCCAACAAGGTGAAAATGAGCGGCAGTGAAAAATAAAAGCGAACATGAACGCAGGAAACAAAATATTGGGTAAACACATACGACAATTCCTCCCTAAAAATAATATGTAACTAGGAAGTTTGACGTTCGAGTCGTACAAAACAGCGTTGTAGTCGTGCAAAACAACGGCAAGGGAAAGACAAAAAACGTGCTGCACGTGCAAATTTGCTTTTTGCTAATTAAAAGAAAAAGTGTGCTGTACGTGCAATTTTTTTTTTTTGCTAATTAGATCTATTAGTCTTGAAGCCGTTTTCATTGTCGTCGTCGTTTAGCATTACACGATTTATTTTTTTTGTTTATAAGTATTATTAACCAGAGCTTCGCTTTTAGCCCTGGCTAAATCTATATATTTTAGTTACTTGTCTTGATTGACCTTTCTTTGAATTACTTTCTTGGCCTACTGGATTTACTTGGCTACTTTAGTTGCTTTCGTGAGGACTTGAAAAACTTGCCTCATTTGAAATGTTTGGCCTACTTAAACAGGGCAAAAGCCTTCGCCCTTTTCTCGCTTTAGTTTAGTAGAGCAGCGATGGGCGGTGCGTGCACATCCAGACACCATTTTTAGCAAATTTTGATTGACTGTGCGATCGATATCGCTGGTGTAGGTCAAAAGCGGGAGATTGAGGACGGAAGATGGACTAAGGCCTGATTCTTACGCAAAACGTCTCGTGGATTAGCCTAACCTAATTCCAATTTACGTCACCGAAATAAATATTACTAGAAATACGTGACTCGCAAAACCTCGCGAAGCTACTTCTTTGCTGCTCGCGCTGAATCTGAAGTCGCCTTTTACGTTGACTGTTATCCCTATCCCAGAATATTGTCTGGGATAGGGAACGGGGCCCATCGTCCCGTTACACACTTACCCAACACCTCATCCGACTGCCATTTTAGTATATTATTATAGACCGAATTTATAAATGGCGGCTAATTAATTATTCTCTTCTCTTTATCCTAATTTTCCTCACCAGCCTCATTTGAAAGCAAAAATTCTTTTCAATTTTTACACGCTAACGAGGCTAGTGACGACAATTTAAGCGTAAAGACAAGAGAACAATTTATTAGGCGCCATTTACGAAAAAGGTCTATGTTGGCATTCAAAGGCGGCCTTCGTTCCGCATTCAAGCCAAATCTTTTCCGTTTGAATTTTGACCTTAAGAACGAGGCAAAAGGACTAAATTGAAAGTTAAAGAACAGTAAAATGACGGCCTTTTTGGAATAAGGTGTAGACTATATGAAAACAGAAAAGTGCATCCCGTGATAAGATCCAATGCATATTGCAATAATACTCCTCAAAGCGATAATACTCCTCAAATAATAATAATAATAATAATAATAATACTCCTCAATAATAATGCAATAGCACTCCTCAAGGCAGCAAATATTGGGAAGAGAAAATATTAATCAACTGCAATACTACATTTAAAAATAGAAATGCATTGCAACATAGATTTACTTGTAAATTTGTAAGCCATTCTTTATGTTTTTAAATATCCTTAATTTTAGCGCAAATCACAGAGACTGAGTTAATTCTCACACCTACCGTCTTCGTCACGGTTGCTCAACTTGACAGATCGCGGACGGTGCCAATTTCTAGTAAGATATACAGTAAAAACCCGCAAGTAAGAACCTAGTTTCAAAAAACCTGTTAGCCTATAATTAGCCAGTTAGACCCCCTATATACAAGAAGCTGTTTAGCCTAAAATTTGAAACAGGTTCTCGTTTTTTTTAATTCTAAGGCACCATAGTTCATGTATACATGAATGTTATCTTCTGAAGAAGGACTTCAAAATTAATGTGATCAGTGCTTCAAATTTTTTTTATTTTAGTCATTTTTACATAAATACTAACTTGGTATGCAGATTTTATATCAGGAATAGGCTAAGTAGCACTAAATTCTATTAGCTACAACGTAATTTGTTTCTACAGAAAATAAGCATCTATTTAAGAACCTACACAGCCTAAATTTGTGCTAATTACCAATTATGTAAGAACGTGTATAGGATAACTTGAGAAAATACAGGACCCTTACTTGCGGTATTTTTGTGTATATCATGAACTAATAAATTGAACTTGAACATGAGGAACATTGGCCTCTGAATTAGAATACTGATGATATAAAAAATAGCCATATTGATCACTTCCACTTTCTTATTACAATAATTTATTTCTAGCAGCACGCAGATAAGAATTTCTGTAATTTACAACTTTAACTGGAATGAACGATTCTGGTTAGAGCAGTGTTCAGTTAAGTGCGAAAGTAACTACGTGATTGCTTTGGCTTTAGTTTCGGTTAGCTCTATGACTGGATCAAAAAACTAGCAGGAACTTATCAACAAATAACATGTAAAACTAAAACCGATTTCCGACATCGTCCCACTCGTTTAGCTCGACGTCCTTCAAAACAGGTCCCGGAATCCATTCAAACCTGCAGATGTCTGCAACTCAGAATATTGAATATGTCGTTGTCTCTCCACTGAGTGCATTTGTCTATTGCTGAACGCCAGTTGTAACATCTCCCGCTTTCATGAGCAATGATTTGGACTTCTCAGCGGTAGAGCCAGCAACTTCGAAATCAGCCCCCATTAAACCGGCAGATGTCGTTGTCTCTCCAGTCATGACATTTGTCTGATGCTCAGAGCCAGTTCTAACATCTCCCGCTTCCATGAACAATGATTTGCACTTCTCAGAGGTACAACAAGCAAGTTCGAAATCACCCGCCTTAAAACCAGTAGATGTCGCTGTCTCTCCAGTCAAGGCATTTCTCTGTTGTTGAAACCCAGTCTTCACACCACCACCTGCAAAGTCGAGCGATTTGGAAAGCTTCGATGTTAAACCAGCAAATTTAACATCTGCGACTTGAATAGTTGCGGAAGTTGTCTTTTCGCCTGTCTCCCTGTTTATCTCTCGCTTAAATCCAGTCTTCACGTAACCAGCAGCAAAGTCGAGGGATTTGAATGCTTCGATGTTGTACCAGCAAGTTTATTATCTCCGACTTGAATAGTTGCGGAAGTCGCCCTTTCGCCTGTCTCGCTGTTTTACTCTTTCTTAAATCCAGTCTTCAGATCACCAGCTGCAAAGTCGAGCGATTTTGAATGCTTGGATGTTGAACAAGCAAGAATAACATCTGCGACTTGAACAGTTGCGGAAGTCGTCTTGTCGCCTATTTCGCTGTTTTTCTCTTGCGTAAATCCAGTCTTCACATCACCAGCTGCAAAGTCGAGCGATTTTGAATGCTTCGATGTTGTACCAGCAAGTTTAACATCTGCGACTTGAATAGAAGCGGAAGTCGCCTTTTCGCCTGTCTCGCTGTTTATCCTTCGCTTAAATCCAGTCTTCACGTCACCAGCTGCAATGTCAACCGATTTTGAATGCTTCGATGTTGAAGCAGAGAGATTAACATCTGCGACTTAAAAAGTCGCGGAAGTCGTCTTTTCGCCTGTCTCGCTGTTTTTCTTTCGCTTAACTCCAGTCTTCACGTCACCAGCTGCAAAGTCGAGCGATTTTGAATGCTTGGATGTTGAACCAGCAAGATTAACATCTGCGACTTGAACAGTTGCGGAAACCGTCTTTTCGCCTGTCTCGCTGTTTTTCTCTTGCTTAAATCCAGTCTTCACGTCACCAGCTGCAAAGTCGAGCGATTTTGAATGCTTGGATGTTGAACCAGCAAGTTTAACATCCGCGACTTGAACAGTTGCGGAAGTCGTCTTGTCACCTATCTCCCTGTTTTTCTCTATCTTAAATCCAGTCTTCACATCACCAGCTGCAAAGTCGAGCGATTGTGAATGCTTTGATCTTGAACCAGCAAGTTTAACATCTGCGACTTGAACAGTTGCGGAAGTCGTCTTGTCGCCTATCTCGCTGTCTCTCTCTTTCTTAAATGCAGTCTTCACATCACCAGCTGCAAAGTCGAGCGATTTTGAATGCTGGGATGTTGAACCAGCAAGTTTAATATCTCCGACTTGAACAGTTGCGGAAGTCGTCTTTTCGCCTGTCTCGCTGATTTTCTCTTGCTTAAATCCAGTCTTCAGGTCGCCACCTGCAAAGTCGAGCGATTTTGAATGCTTCGATGTTGAACCAGCAAGTTTAACATCTGCGACTTGAACAGTTGCGGAAGTCGCCTTTTCGCCTGTGTGGCTGTATATCTCTTGCTTAACTCCAGTCTTCACGTCACCAGCTGCAAAGTCGAGCGATTTTGAATGCTTCGAAGTTGAACCAGCAAGTTTAACATCTGCGACTTGAAAAGTTGCGGAAGTCGCCTTTTCGACTGTCTCGCTGTTTTTCTCTTGCTTAAATCCAGTCTTCACGTCACCAGCTGCTAAGTCGACCGATTTTGAATGCTTCGATGTTGAACAAGCAAGTTTAACATCTGCGACTTGAATAGTTGCGGAAGTCGCCTTTTCGCCTGTCTCGCTGTTTTTCTCTTGCTTAAATCCAGTCTTCACGTCACCAGCTGCAAAGTCGACCGATTTTGAATGCTTCGATGTTGAACCAGCAAGTTTAACATCTGCGACTTGAATAGTTGCAGAAGTCGTCTTTTCGCCTGTTTCGCTGTTTTTCTCTTGCTTAAATCCAGTCTTCAGATCACCAGCTGCAAAGTGGACCGATTTTGAATGGTTAGATGTTGAACCAGCAAGTTTAACATCTGCGTCTTGAAAAGTTGCGGAAGTCGTCTTTTCGCCTTTTTCGCTGTTTTTCTCTTGCTTAAATCCAGTCTTCACATCACCAGCTGCAAAGTCGAGCGATTTTGAATGCTTCGATGTTGAACCAGCAAGTTTAACATCTGCGACTTGAACAGTTGCGGAAGTCGTCTTTTCGCCTGTCTCGCTGTTTTTCTCTCGCTTAAATCCAGTCTTCACGTCACCAGCTGCAAAGTCGAGCGATTTTGAATGCTTTGATGTTGAACCAGAAAGTTTAACATTTGCTACTTGAACTGTTGCGGAAGTCGTCTTGTCGCCTGTCTGGCTGTTTTTCTCTTGCTTAAATCCAGTCTTTACATCACCAGCTGCAAAGTTGACCGATTTTGAATGGTTGGATGTTGAACCAGCAAGTTTAACATCTGCGACTTGAACAGTTGCAGAAGTCGCCTTTTCGCCTGTCTCGCTGTTTTTCTCTCGCTTAAATCCAGTCTTTAAATCACCAGCTGTGAGGTCAAGTGCTTTGCAATGCTCGGATGTCGATCCAGAAATTCCAAAATCTGCGACTTTAACGGCTGCGCGGGTAGTTTTTTCTCCAGTCGCCGAGTTTTTTCCTCTGAATAGGCCAGCATTAAATTCTCCTGCACTCATTTGAATTGATTTCGATTCTTTAGAGAGGGAGCCGCCCATTGCAAAGTTTTTATGTTGGACAGATCCAGATATCTCTCTTTTCCCAAATGATGTACCAATAGCACTGTCTTTGGACTTGACATTGATATCAAGCTGCTCCTTTGAGAAGCCAAGATCGATGGTGTTCTCGCCATTTTGCAGAGATCCTGAAACCCCTGACGTACCGCCTGATAGAGCAAAGCCGTAATCTCCACACTGCGCGTGACCTCCTATTTTTTCTTTTGAAGCAAAAAATCCTACTCCTGTATCATTTACCTGAAGCCCTGCACCCACACCGTCTTTCGCTATTCTAAGGTTTAATCCAAATGCCGACTTGCGCTGATCGGTGATCCTTGCATGTTTGCCAAAGTCTGTATTAACGGACCTCTTTATTTCTTTGGAAACAATTCCTGAAGAGGATGCTATAGTTCCCTGGTGTTCCATGGCCATTGATTTCTTGCTCGTACTCAGCCCCAAGTCTACTCCTGTTTTATTGACACCTAAGGAGAATCCGAAAGAGGACTGTGATCGGTAGCTGGAAACTTTTTCCGAGATAATTTTCTTTGCAAAATTTCCAATATCTGCATCAGCCGTAACTGATGAACCTTTGAGGTTTAGAGAACCGACTTTGAACTCTTCTTCTTTTATTGGTCCACTACAATGGATGCCGCTTGCCTTTTCTACAAACTTCCCAACGTCTGAACTCTCGCTGTAACCGAACTTTTCGGGAACAGGAAATCTAGGACCAATGGCAAAGCCAACACTTGTTGTCTTCTCGAACGCTTCTATTTCACTCTGCTTGGAAATGACATGGAAATTCTCAATGTTCCCAGTGATTGCACCAGTTTCTAGGTTACATGCAGTCAAATTTACATTTTGCACCGAGAGGAAATGAGTTCTTCCTCGAACAGTGGTGCCTTGATTGACGATTTGCTTCTGTTTTGAGGAAGCATTTGTCATGGTTACATTCACTGTACCCGGTGACTGAATTCCAATTCCCACCGACCATTCTTTGCAAGAATACGAATTATTCAATTCTGCTCCTTCGAAGTTAACGTTCTCGGTATCGATAAGCATGTTTCCAACATCCATACCCATTGCATTTTTCACGTCAAAGTTTTGCGCTGAAATCGACAAGTTGCGACCAACTTTCATGGTGCGCCCAGCTAAACGCTGCTGCATCATTCGTTCGGATTTCTCCCCAAACGATAGACCATTTTCTAGGGAGAATGAAAATCCACTTGACTGAACCTCCTTTGATTTTGACAGTATCCTGTCCTTAAATAAGACAGTACCAGCGGCTTGAAGCATCATGTCGCCACTGACCGAACAATCAGTCCCGATCATGGCCACATTAGAATCTCTGGATAAAATAGTAAGTGATCCACCAGCATTTAATGAGGAGTAATGCTGCTCTTCTGTTCTTTGTCTTGTTCTCTTTGTTCTGAACCAGTTGCTCCTCACATGCTCTTCTTCTCGAACAGTCACTTTGTCTTGGATAACAACATCTTCCTTCGCTGAGATCGCTATGTTTTTGGCTGCCTGAATTTCTGTGGCTGTCGCACTGATCTTTCCCTCTTCTGATTCAATCGATACACTTCCAGACGAGGAAGAGATACTCGATGTTGAAACAGTGGAATACGATGTTACATCTTTTGAGGAACTAAAAAAACCTCTATCTGACGAAGACGTGTTGTGTCTCGTTTCTATGACATCAATAATTACGTCCTTCTTCGCCTTCACAAGGGCACCTTTCTCACCAGAGACTGAACTAGCAGCCATCGAAACTGATCCTTTGCTTGATACTACAGCTGCAACGCCGCCAGCTCCAAGACTTGACGAATCCAAGTTGACATTTCCTTGAACAGACTTTAACAAGACAGAGTTTTGAGACTTGACTGATGACCCCTGACATTGAGAGTTTGATCTGATGATATGGATGCTCCTTTGTCAAATCTCAGGCTAGAATTTTCAATACTAACGGACCTTGCCTTAAGATTGAGCCCGTACTCATGATAAAGGTTACAGCTTGAGAAAACTACATCTTGATCCGTCAACACCAAGCCGAGTTGATCAGAGATCTTTAAATCTTCATACACTCCTTCGCCTTTCAGGAAACTATTAACCTCGTTGATTTTGTTAGTTTTCATCGTAATGTTCTTGAACTTGTGATCTGCCTTGGTCCGCCCTTCTCTTTTGTCATGATAAGCCAGATCAATGCCCGACTTAGCTTCAATCGTTGCTTGGTCTGATTCAACTTTTCCAACAAGCTCAACCTTTCCTCGGGATGATTTCATGTCCAAAGAACCGCTGGCAATATCACCCACCCTGCACACATCATCTGCGCAAAGCACCATCGCGATAGCTCTCTTTTCCCTTTTGCTCAAAAAAATTTCTTTAGATACAACAGCAACATCTCCAGCAAATTGAGCACCATTGTCGCAGAATACTTCATCAAAGAGTGCTTCATAGAATGAATCTGTGAAGGTGACACCCTCCCCAAAACAGTAAGAGCCAGATTCGTGAATACCATCTTCTTGATTACTTGTCTTCTTTGATTCAGAGAAGCCAAAGCTTTCCTTCATTGATTTCAAAGCTTTCATTCCTCGTTTCTTCATCAATTCTCGCATCTTTCTTGCCTTTCCTGGGATTGCCAATAATTTTTCTTTCAGCACGTTTATCTTCGTGTATCTATCGCTCTCGCTTGTAATGATGAAAACCAGTTTTTGCACGTCAAAAGACTCAATGCCGTTCTTCAGAACTTCTGCTACAAAGTTATTCACCATGTTGTACATTTGGCCCAGTCGTAAGGTGATTTCTGCGTTTTGCATAGAACCTCTGCTCAAGGATCTCAGTGGTTTAGATGATTGGCTGTCTTTGTTTGCCTCGTATTCTTTATGAATATTCTTCAGCCATTCTCCAGCTTTTGACCACGCTTCTACGCTTTTGGCGTCGGGTATGCACGTTACGTAGACCAGAAACTTGAAAAGCAGAACTGAGTTGTTTTCGATCCGTTTGTTCGATTTTAGGGAAGAGCCCCCAAGGAAACACGTGATACTTTCCAGTTTAATGTTGCCTCGCCCAACCAGTTCACACCTCGTCAC